GGCCGTGTGGGCCAGAGTCCAGCTGTGCTCCTTTATTGCCCTCACCAGATCCTGTGGGTTTGAACTAGGTTGAGTGCCCCCCATCTTGCTCCTCCCATACGACAGCTCCAACTCACTGCCTCCCCCAGGTTAGAATAGCCCTCCACATCTCAGGTCTGCCTTCTACTTCTCTCCCTCCCTATAAGCCATTCCTGCAGCAAGGGGACTCTTTCTCATCTGCAGACTACCTCCTGACTCCCCTGAGGGCCAAGCCCCCCAGCCCAGAGTCTGTTTTGGGGAGAACCAGACACAGGGCTGTTTGAATGGCCCTCTAAGCCTGCTGGACAGTGTGGGGACAGCAGGCTTATTTGCATTCCTGGTCTTCACTGAGTCCTGCATTCCCTAGACACCCATTACAAGGGGCTGTGGCTAGAAGAGGGATGTGCCCACCAGGTGGGTGGTGAGGTTCTGGCATGAGGAGGAATGGGGTCCTGGACAGTGAGACTGTGGCCCAGGTCGGGGGTGCTCAGCTTTCCTAGTGCTGGGTGGAAAAACAGAGTGACACTTCTCCCTTGGAGAACATGGAAAGGAGGGGGCTGCCAATTTAATGAGCCCAGCCAGCAGATATTTACAGCTAATTACACTTCAACAAAAATCTTCCTTAAGAAATTTGCCCACCCCCCTTCCAGGGTCTCTGATGACACTTTTTCTGGTCAGCCACAGTGACCTACAAGCTCTGTGCTACTTTCTCAGCAAGTCATGGTGTGCCTGTGACCTCCAACATCTGTCCATCAGGAGGTCTGTGGGGGCAGCCCACCCCCATCATTCCACAGTGGCCCAGGGTGACCTCAGATGTCATCCAGTATGATGGTCTCAGGAGCTGTGATTGGCCAGGTGGAAAGGTGGGGGAAAGGAATCAGATTTGAGTGAGAGCAGAGATGCTGTTGTGTCTTGTTGAAAGGTAAAAGTGGTAGATTTGCAGGGCGCCTGGGTGGCTCAGTCGTTAAGCATCTGCCTTCGGCTCAGGTCATGATCCCAGGGTCCTGGGGTGAAGCACCCCCACCTCCACCCCACGAGCCCTGAGTCAGGAGTCTGCTTGTCCCTCTGGCCCTCCTCTCTCTCTCTCACACACACACACACACATGTGCACGCTCTCTCTCAAATAAAATAAAATCTTAAAAAAAAATAGACACCCCTCTCAGCCGCAAAAAACAATGGAATCTTGCCATTTATGACAACATAGATAGACCTAGAAGGTATTATGCTAAGTGAAATAATTCAGACAGAAAAAAATAAATACCATA